TATATGACAGCCAAGAATTCAATTAATGTGACATCAGCAATAAATAATATTGATACAGATGACCTAGAACGAAAATATTACATCATACTGTTAACGAATTTCAAAAATAAACTATGATAAAATCCATATAAGATGATTATCATAAAGTACAGTTGTCAACACTATAAATGACTTGAAAGGTATAGAGTGCAGAAAATATATTCAAAATTCAGAGCAAACCCATTGCACTAGAATACCATCAACCTCCTACTGAAGTAGACTTCATGCCATAAGTTGGCCACAGAAATATCCTCATATCGACTTCGCAGGGCTGTTCCCCAGGGAAGTCGTGAACAACTTTTTGTATGATCCGGATTTTAAGTGAATAATCACCTGAAGAACGAATTCATATTCTTATTCCACAAAATCTATCTCCTAAGGCGCTGTGATGCTGCTTCTCAAATCGACGGTTATTCTCTTCTCAACTTCATGACCTCTAGTCTTCTACCCAAGATTCTAAATCTCAGAAGCTAACGGGTTTTGCTATGTGTACATAGCAATGTACACAAAGGTATCCATAATGGACAAATGGCGCCCAGGAGCCCCCCCAATAGGGGGTGCCATTTGTCCATTATGGACACCCTTATGGATTTTGCCATGTACACATGGCAAAATCCGATGAACAAATGATGCATCAAGGCGCCAATTGTGAGACAGTATTTGGAGGTGCATGCCTCAAGGCTTATGAGACGTGCTCCTCAGTTCTCTACTTAGGCATGGGCCTATACACTGGATCTCTCCAATAACAATTTTTTTTTTTTTAATTATAATACCGAGTCGTTTGGTTTCTTGTATCTTCTCCGATGTATGCAATTAGATTTTTTACGTCAATTTCAAGCTAAATTCAAACCATGTTTTGTTTTGTTCTTTCATGTATCACATTTATTATGTGCCATCTCTTTCTTTGCCTTTGTTTGTCCGGTCTATTGTTGATGTTTGTCATGTAATGAGCAGGAGGTTGAACAGTAATAGCTTCAGTGGGTCAATTCCTATCTTTAGCCATGCTCCCTCAACTTGCTTTCTTGTTAGATAATCTTCTCCTCATTTTTTTTTAAATGAATGTTAATGCGCTTAATTTTCATCAACCAAGTTCTAGATTATCCTAAAATCTACCTGTAGATCCGTCCCTGAATCCGATTAAAAACTTGTGTGCATAAACCCATTCAGAAAATTCCAAATTTCTTCCATTCCAACACAAAAAGGTAAAACAAAACATATGAGCGTAATTTCACATTCGTGTAATCATGACATGTTACTGGGGGCAAAATGTCATCGCCTTCTGAACTTTGTACTCTCAAGTCAAAGGCATGTGTATAATCATATACATGGAAGACATGCAAAAACATCTACCCACGTATTCATTCATAAAATGAAGATATATACAGAGAGAGAGAGAGAGAGAGAAAATACCGCAGATCTTTATTGGAGCTTCAAGCTCGAGCAGATTAGGTTGCGAAAGGAAGATTTCACGTGAGGCAGCGCAGAGAGCGCGGATCTCATTCTCCGACAGCTGCACCTGCCGCACGGCTCTCGTACTCCGGAACTCCAATAACCGGTTGATGATATCATCCAGAACGGCAGGTTCCATCCCCTGCCCAGTTGCCGCCATCTCTTACCTCTCTTTCTTTCGATTCTAAGCCTCCCCTAAAATCCAATCACCACCAACAACAAACCCTAGATTCTAAAAAAAAATCAAGAAAACTAGATTCTTGACGTCCAAATTGAAAAACAAGAAACAATAATGCATGAATCAACACAAGCCAGCTCAGATTAGTGATTAAGACGAAAAATGGTTGAACAAAAAAAAACTTGATTCAAATTGGAGGAAAAAAAGGGGTGGCTGCAACACCGATGAGGCGGAGCGGGATATAACTTATGAATGGATTTCGATGATTTGACAATACAAAAAAGTGTGGTCGGAATCGATAAATCCGCTACCCCCTCATGTGGTTCTCTATATGCAATTTATTTGGACTCTGTTCCCTTGCCGCTTTGGATGTTCAAGTAGTCAATTTCAAATTCTAGGGGTTCAACTTTTCAATCTCTAGGGGATATATAGCCCATGTTTGGCACCCATTTTTTATCTCATTCTCATTCTCATTTTTTTTTTCTTACTTCATTTCAACCACATATTCTTTTAATAAAATAATATTACACACAAATCTAAAACTTTTCATAACTTTTCCACCACACATTCTCCCATCAATCACTATTCTAAAAAATTTTATCTTCAAAAAATGGGTTTCAAACACACCCATAATTTCTCAACTAATATCTATTTTTCTTTAAATATCACTTGCCTTTCATCGAAGACTTAGGTACGGAACTCAATATTTATTCTTCTCTCCATCGGACCAATATGGTTGTTATGCTCGTTACTAAACTTGTTGGGGAGATGAAATATAACCAATGTATATCTTTTTGAACAGATGTTGAATCGATCATCAGAAGAAGAATTAGGCCAAAAATTACATTATGGAAAAATCAAACTTCCATCGAAGAGAAGCAAATGAAAGACTTTCATAAAATTCTCGTAGAATCGAGAATGAAGTTTTCATTCTATACATACCGGATCATGAATTAGTAACTGCATCTCGAACGCATGTCATTATGAGCGGATTCCAATTAAATAGTGAGTTTCAATTTTATAATACACAGGTCAATCAAGGTATAAATTAATAGGCTCCAATCCTTCTAAAGTCTAAGTTGTACTAAAGTGGCTTAAATAGCCTCAATGAAAACAAGACGTTGACATTGAAAAAAAAAATATTTAGGCCCCGTTCGGGAGGGATTAAAATCCAATTAAAATTGAAAATATGGCCGTTATTGGGTCCCACTCGTCTAATAAAAGTCAACAATAACGGCTATATTTTCAATTTTAATCCGATTTTAATCCCTCACATACAAGGCCTTATTTTTCTCTTTCAATTCGACAATTTGACCTTTTACCGAAAAAGTTAAAGCGGACTTGCATTGTAATAATTTTAGCCCCCGTTTGAGCCCCATTTTTTCTCATTTCATTACATTAATTTTTTCTCTCTCTTCATCTCAACCACACATTCTCAAATAAAATAATATTACACACAAATCTAAAACATTTCCACTACACATTTTCCCATCAATCACTATTCTATAAATTTTCAACCCCAAAAAATGGGGGCCAAACAGGGCCTTAATGTGCATGTTAAAATGTGATCATTAAGCCCCTGTACGGTATTAAAATCTAAATTTTATCAAAGTCATCGTCAATTTAAACAACATATTTTATGGAATCCATAATTTTTCAAATACACATTTCATCATTTTTCTAAAATCTGTCAAAAATCTGATTTTAAACCAAACAGAGATCTTTTAATATTTGTAAGGGTCCGTTTGATTGCAATGATGGAAAATGAGTGAAAAGAAAATGAATTCCAAAGAAAATAATTGCCTAAAACTTGTTTCCAGGGAATTGTTAATTAAATGTATTTGATTGATATGATTTTCCACCTTAAAAATTTTAAAATTTTGGATCTTTTAGTTCACGTTTAGCTTTATTTTACATGGAAATTGTTCGTTAAAATGAAATTGTTACCATTGCTAAAAAGTGAAAAAAAAAAAAAAAAAGTTTGCTCAAAAACTATTTATTCACCATTTTTTCATCAAAATTTAGTGTTCGTTTGGCTTCGTTTTACATGAAAATGGTCAATTAAAATGAAATTTTTTTTACAATTAGTTATGAAATTTATTTCCATTACCAAAAAAAAGAGGCCAGAAGCTGGAATTCATTTTCCCACCAAAAAGTTGAGAAAATGAATTCCTTGAAAAGAGAGAAAATGGGCGCGTGGGTGGGGCGAGAAGTTTTTCATGTCAAATTTTGCCTATCAAACAAGTGTTTAACATGGAAATGAAATTTTTTTTCCATTTTCCATGAAAAATATAGGCTATCAAACATTAGCCTAATACTTCTTATCGAGTCCATTCTTCTATATAGTTTGGAAATTTTTAACTTCCCGTCTCAAATTACCATATTTTCCCCCTTCAGCATAATTAAACATCTTTTGAGACTAGAGAACATAATTGATCTCTTATCAATTGTTTGAAATAGACATTGAAACCTCTTATTTGTCCACTGATATGGAGAAAAGTGAGTTACAATGCGTAAATACTCGCAAATGAGAGTCGAACTTGCCAAAATTGCATTGTACAATCACAATTGAAGTAAAATGAGACCATAAATAGAAAGAGACGTGTTTGGTAAGCAGTTGTACATAACACATCCCTACACAAAACGACGTAACATCTTTCAAATGCACAAACAACCAAAAGCAACTAGTTACCATTGGCATCTCCATATGCCTCCCAATAAATCTACTAATCAAGAGAATCTACTTACGACAAAAGATTCACATAATTAGCCCCAAATTTATCGGAAACAAGACTTCATACCATGTTTAGTCGTGCTTTTAAGAGGGAGTCAAATTAACTCACTTATTTTGCAAACAAGAAATTCAAAGTTGACTAACAAAACTTCTAGAAAAATAATCTATTAAGTCCAGCCAAGCATGCTCTTAAGAAGTTTGTGGTTGTAGTACAAGGCTATACTAGTCAAGCACAGACAGAAATTTAAACCAAACCAGAAATAGGAAACTGTACAAGGATTGCTTATAAAATCACACTATTATTTATATAGTCAACTTGCAACTACAACCCTGAAAATAATTAAACAAGAAAAGTAACCCACCATGCCCTATAGTCACATTCATAGTCAAGCCAAACTAATCAAGCAATGCTGCTGGTATTAATAGTAACTTTGCGCCTTCTTGAACGAGAGAAATCTGAAAATATTAAAATTCCTGCTCTGCTGAGTAGATTCAGGGCCATAATCCATACTGTATGAGCACGATTTTCCACACATCACCAGAAGCACAGAAGATTTGTGCGAAAATGCAATGCGAACGTACATCAAACATCCGGTTACATTAGTGCATCTCACGAATCTGTCTAATCCACAAGTGTCTTCTGAAAGAAGGCTGGTGAATCATTAGATTATCTGAAAGAGAGAACAATGGATTCAGTCATTTAATCTCAATAAAATCCTAGCTTCCCTTTCACAGAGCAAATAATTTAGGGGACTTCTAGTAAACCACAACCTCATGAAAATATCAAATATCAAACTAAACATAACTTAATGGAAATCCAACTCTATTTCAACCTATAATACACTTAAATTTTGCATCACTAAGGCATAATAACTATAGCTACTGTAAGGAATAACACAATACAACAGCAGGAAGATGTTACATATGGATCAGAAAACAAACAGAAAAACAGATTTATATGTGTATAAAGAACTGAATATGGGTTTTTGCCGCCAATGTGCATTCTTGTGCTGGGGTGGGGGTGTGTGTGTTGGCATTTACGATCATGATGGAGAGAGGCTAGTTTGAGTTTTTTTTTTTTTTAATCACCTCTAGTCTTGCTAACGAATTACTTTTGTCACCCTTTTGAGTTCAAAAAAGAATACAGCTTCCTATGCAGGAACCCAGCATGAGCAACCATAAATAATCCTGCCCTTCCATCCCTGTAACATCCAATTACCATCTTCGTCAAACAGAAAATCTTTATGATACCCAGCCTTCACTTTCTTTCTTAATATCTTCATTAACTCACGATTCAAAGAAAGGGGTTTGAAACCAGCCCTCATAGTCCGCATTTGCCACTGCTTGTGTGTCTCAGGTCTCTCAACCCTTCCTGCCCCCTCGCAGGCAATAACATTTATTATCGAGTGCCCATAAAAGTCCTGTTCAAAATTCATCCTGTGCGGATCATCTCGAGGTAGCGTAGCATCCAACATATCAAACAATGCCGAGTAGTGGAAGAGAGCCTCCCTGAAACGTGTAACGAAGAATGGAGAACTACAAGATCCACTGTCAACCGCATGCACAAATATATTTGGATTCATTTTCCTAATTAAGTTCAGAACTGCATCCCTGGGACAGTCAACTTCAACAGTCTCGTCAAGCAGCCTACCAAAACGAAACAGACAGTTCACAGCAAGCACCTCGCCATGTTCAATCTTCAGGTCCTCAATTTTGATTGTCTCCCAGTTCTGTGTCGCTATGGCTTGATACTCAAATGGTACACCAAATCGTTCACAGTATTTCGCCAAACGGCACCCAGTCTCTTCTACTCTTTCGGCTGGGCGAAAACCAGGTTGTGGAAACTCGATTCCAGTGATCCGCAGCTTGGGGGGCCCACCAGGTCTCCTTGAAAGATGCTGAATGAGAATAGGCCATTGGAAACCATAAAGAATACCAAAATCTACAATATGCAGTGTTTTTGCTTCTGATGCTGCTTCCACAATCATCTTGTTTGCAAAGATAATTGATATCTTCTTGAATGGGCAGGCAGAAAGGTAAACCTGGTAAGCTTTCAACTTCTCAACAGCTGTAATATTCCTGGATGCAAGGGATGCATAAATCTGGGTCCCAGTGCCAGAAAAGCGCGCCTCAAGACCATAGGCAAATACATATGCCAACCTCTGATATGCATCACCGGTAGGAGAAGCATGCTGCCTAATCTGCTCTAATTGTACATATTCCATTCTACGATCATCAGCAGCAACAGATTGTGCACAGCTGATCAAAAGAGTCCTCAGGTCCACGGCTTCACTATTACTCTCATGCTTCTTAGCACGAGTTCTTCCGCCATTCGACCCATTAGGCAGTACAGTCTGCAACAAGTACTTTTCCTCTCCACCAGGCAATTTAGCGTCCACATTACAATGCATGGGCTCACATTTGACATCAGTGGAAAGGAGGACTTTGTCAAACATTTCGGATAATTCCACATCTTCTACATAAACTGCCGACTGCTTGCTGCTTCTCTCCACATTTTCCGAATCGCCATCCTCTGGATGGTGATGCTTCCTTCCCTTCAAGCCATTAGTTAAGTGATCCATCTCATCCTTTTCTACCTTGACCATGACCGTCTGAGTCGTTTCATCTGATTTTAGAGGCAGTGTGTATTTATCCAAGTTGATAATCAATTGATTACTAGGGGGAAGGAATTTACTAGCTTCTTCCATCCCTCTCTTGAACTGCAAGATAGACTCACTATCGCTGAATATATTTGGAATTAGGCTCGTATTTTCAAAAGAGCTCACCTGGATATTGATATTATCGTTGAAGCTGTTGACAGAACCAACTGACCATTGTGAACTGGTTTTCGTGGCAGATTTGTAAGCAGTATCCAGCAACTGACTCTGTTCCACCGACGAATTAAATTCACCTGGATCAACAACCCACTGTGGATCAACGGAATTAGTGCCGTTACTACTGCTGTTTGTGTACTCGCTGGAACTCCCAAAAAAGGCATCTCGGCTTTCCGAACTGCAGTTAAAGTAATCAGATTTTTGATGCGGTGAAGGTGGGTACTTTTGGCCAAGGACTTCATATAAGGATTTCTCAGCAGCTTGTAAAGCGAGTGGATCATGGAACATGCTTGGCTTATCATCCATGTTTTCTTCAATAAGTATCTGATTTAGGTACTTTAGCACTGGATCAGAATCTTGATCATCCGGAGATTCCACCTCATAGCTCCCGCTTAAAGATGGATTGAAATTTTCAAGGCCAGGGCTAAATGTAAGGAAAGGGATATCTGCAATATTAAGGTCCAGAGAAACATCATCTTTATATCCATTAATTTGGTCATGAGATTGCTCAAAACTGGGTAAGAGAGTTTCATCATCGAATCTGAATCCATTTATCGTATTGTGCATTTCACTGAATCTGGGATCCATAACTATCACCACCTCAAAACCCTGCATCAAATGAAATAAGAAAAGGTCGGACCAAAAATCTTAACTAAATGAATGATTAAGATGGAATAAAATTATCTCTAGATCTGATAAACTACCATAAGTAATAATAAAACTTAAAGGGCATAATTTCAGTTAAAACTTCAACTAACTGATTTTAGAAAATTATTTTCACCCCTGCAATGATCAGTTGTTCCAACAAAGTCCTTCATAAGATAATGTACCCCTCCTCCCTCTTCTTCCCACGAAAAAAACCTTCGTCTATATATTTCTCTCCTAACTCTGATTTATAGTTTCGCCTTAAAGGAACAGCAAAATAAGTTGAAAACCCTTACAGTATCATTGAGCAGACTTAAAAAAAGGAAGCTCAAAGGGAAAATATAAATATTGTGCAATACTAGAAAATAATAGCTGAAGATCAAACAATCAATTTCCTAAAAAAAAAAACTAAAGAAGACATCAAAACATAAAACGTAGTCAAAATTAATAGGGAAAGAGTATAATTAAAAGAATTATCAAGAAACAACCGTACATTTCTTACTCAATTAAAACATCAACAGTAAAATTAAAAACATCAATAACATAAATAAACAAACCAAACCCAGGAAGAAAAAAGAAGCAGAACCCACAAAGCACACGAACAAATATCCTAAAATTTCCAGGAAAAACAAAAAGTTAAAAAGAAAAAGTAAACAGCCCACTGAATTTTCTTGAACAAGAGGAGAGAAACCCTAAGTACGAAAACAAACATCAAAGGAATGAAAAATACATACCCAAAAAATAATTATTTTTATTCTGCCTCGCTAAACAAGTACGAAATCAAACCCATAGGATTAAAAAAAATAAAAGAAAAACGCCAGAGACAAAAGAATTATTTTAATTCTGCCTAGTATGAGCGTGTACCTGAGATTTTATGAATTGAATGAAGGAAGAAGGAGTGGATGGTGGAAGATTCTACAAAATAAAAAGATAACTCTGCGTCGATATAAATATAAAACCTAGTAGCTTTCTCCCCAAGGTGATGATGATATTTACCCTCAAAAATTATGAAGCTTCTACGAAGCAGAGTATTGTCTCTATGTCTGACTCTGTCTGCTGATGCATTCAGTTGTGGATTTTCATTTGCTGTTTGACGAAAGAAAATTATATTCGCCATTTGGCTTTTGACTTTTGACTATCTTATCGGTTTTCGTAACTTTAAAAGGTTCCACTAATCCACTTATCCGATTTCCTTTTTCGGCCGCCGTGGGTTTTGGCCCGTATCGGTTTGCGATGTCTTCAACCGATCCAACTTTGACTCAAAAAAAAGAAAGGAATATGCCCTATTTGGTAAATATTAGAGAGATGGAGCCCATTGTTAAGAATTACTTATCGTTCTAATACAATCTTTTATAAATTAAAGACGAAAATTAATAAGGTATTACGAAAATAACAATCACAAGAATACAAAATTTATATAAAAACTTAAGATGGAAAAAATCACAGGCAGAGATGAAAAAAATTCATTATATCAAAAAAACATAAATTACAATATGTATGATCTCAACTAACCTATTGAATAGTTAGATGACCAAAATATGTGTTGTACACCACATATATATAATACTAAATGCATGTTTGAACCTCATTTTTTCAAAACTCATTTTCAACCACACCTTCTTTTAATAAATTAATTTTACACATAAATCGAAAATTTTTCCTTATTTTTTAATCACATTTTCCAAAAACTACTATTCTAAAATACAATTTTTCCCTAAAATGAGGCTCAAACAAGGGCTAAGAATCCCTAACATACTAGGAGAATATAATAGACCGAAGAATCTAATATGTGGTAAAGTTCTAATACAATAGGTAAAATCTATAATAGAGTATTTGGGTTGAAATATGAGAGAAAAATTATCAAAATCAAAAAACCTTCTCATTGTCGTTTTCTACGTCTTCAAGACTTCTCCAATACAAACGATCAATTCTAAATATACCTCCAAAATAGAATTCTAGTCCTGCAGAAGTTCTAACAAACTCCACATTGACACGAATTCCACTACAATGAACAAAACTTTAAAAAAATTCTTCATCTAAAGACAAATTTCATTATAAGAAATAAAACTTAACTCTTTAACTCCAACAAAATTCTCCAAACAAATTACTCTACCTCTTCTACAAAATCCATAAGGGCAAACTCAACAAATGTGAACTAAATCCAAGCATTGCTTACCAGCATAATTACCTTAAGACACCAAACTTGCTCGAATCACCACAAACAAAAAATCATTAAGTTCACAATTAACTCTATCCAAGCACTTCTCATCTACAAGATTACTTTTGGTACCAAATTTTCTTAAATTACGAGCAACAAAAATCACAAATGATTTATTAATCACCAGACATAACAAAAACAAGCCATGTAACAGAATCATCACAATTAAATGTTTCAACAAAAGGATCTCCGATATAATCAACACCTTCAACCACATTCAAAGCATAAACTAAATAAGCATCCATGTACCTATGTGGAGGCCTAATATTACAAATGAATCTGTCTCTAGCAATTGAATACAATGATACCGCTAGTAATGGTGGCAAAGTGGAATTTTCCATAACTTCTTCATTTGACCAAAACGTATTCTTCAAGGTAAACCTCAAACTATACTCGAACGGTACTAAACCAAACTCCAAATTCAATTATGTTCCAAATTTTTACTGATTGATCTCAAAAGATTCTATCAAACCATGCAAGCATATAATTGGGAACTTCTCTGTCCCTTTCATCCTTACGTTGATTCTTCTCCAACGTCCAAACAAAATATTCACCATAACAAAAATATTGTTTCAATCAAAAAACAAATTATCAAACTTAATACTTGCCATGCCGATCAGATCTCAATCTAGGTTGATGAGATCTCACTCTGATACGAAACCAAACGACTCTCCCAAGAACTGTCAAATCTTGTCTCTCATACTAATTTGTTAGAGAGATTGAGCCAATTGTTAAGAATTATGTACCACTCCGTTACCACTTGTTATGAAATTAAAGACGAGAAATAATAAGGCAATATGAAAATAACAAAACAAAAACATAAGATTTATGTGAAAATCTAAGACGGAAAAAGTTCCAAGTATAGGCGAAGAATTCGCTATATCAAAAAAAGTAAGATTTCAATATGTATGATCTCAACTAACCTGTTGAACAGTTGGATAACCAAAATATGTGTTGAACAACACAAAGTATTATAGTTAAATACCTAATTCTTTTATTCATTTATGATGTTAAAAGATTGTCATATGTTCTCGTTCTTGTTCTCTAAACTCCTATTGCATGTTTGCTATGAAGAAAGAGATTAAACAATATAATTAATAAGATTTTATTTTTTTTTTAAAATGTATGAGTTGAAAATGAATTTGAGAATTAAAGTGTTTTGAAATAATGGTTGTCAAACAAATGCTAAGTTCATCTATCAATGACAAATTTATTTATTTTTTCAAAAGTTACTATTCTATTTTCATATTAATCAATTCAGATTTTTTAGTTTTCAAAATTTAATTCTTTTTCATATTACGAATATTAGTTATTCTTAATACACAGCTTATTCTGATAGTGACTTTCACCTATTTAAAAACACAATCTAATAATAAGCTCATGTTTGAGCTGCATTATTTTTCTTATTTTCATTCTTCTACTCATTTTCAACTACATATTTTTCAATAAAATAATATTTTCCATCATATCAATAAATTTTTCTTCTTTTTCAACCACCTATTCCTCATTACATTAACAGTAAAAATGCATTTTTACTCACAAAATGTGCATCAAACAGGGGCTAGGTCAATAATTTTAATTAAATTTTTTACGTACTTATTTGATTTTTATTTGTTGAGAAGTGAAATTTTATAATTGGTGTTTGGTGTAGATTAAAATCAGATTTTAAGTGGATTGTGATAGAAGTTTTTGAAATGTGTTATTGAAAAGATGTGAGACCCATGAAAAATGTGGTTGATATTGATTGTTTGACTTTGACTTAAATTAAAATCAGATTAAATCTGGCTCAAAAATGCCCTTAATGCCAAGTTTTTTATTCCATAAGCTGCCTTCAGTTTAGGAGTGAAACAAGCTTCTCGGTCCACCCTTCGATCCAAGCTCATTCAATATATGAAAGAGATTTTAAGTTTCACTTCAAAATATTAATTGATATTCAAATTAGAATGAGTAGATATCCGCAAATATCGAATTAGTTTTGTTAAAAAAATTTAACCACAATTTTAAACTGAAAATAATAATAATGATAATTCGCAGTGTTAAAGAGGATAACTTTTTATTTATTTATTTTTATCTTAATACTTTTAGGCTTTTTAGAGTAACTCAACATCAATAACTAATCTATACAACATTAAGCCAACATGTACTAAGCCAAAATTAGCACGGTGGAGAATTTTTCAATTAACCCTAAACATATTAAGTTCATGTCTGGTATAGATTAAAATTTGATTTTAATCTCAAATCAAAATCAATAATTAATTTTAATCGCACATTTTATAGGATTCACATTTTTTTAACTACATATTTCATCATTTTTTATCAAAATTTACTAAAAATTTAATTTTAATTTGTATCAAACAAGGGCTAAACAAGAACAACCATGACAGTTTGAATTTCGGGCTGTGCCCAAAATCGACCAATGTCCACCCCTACTTGCTTTTAGTTCAAGATATCACAAAATAACGTTATTAATCATTTTTAGTTCAAAAATACACAATTACAAAATAAAAGGAAAAAAAAAAAAACCAACCTAATACAACCCAATGTCTATCCTACTCGCATTTAGTTCAAGATATCACAAAATAACGTTATTATACATTTTTAGTTCAAAGTGTCATCAAACAGTCTTAATACACATTTGTAGTTCGTGATATCATAAAAAAATGACGGGTAAAGATGAATATTTTGCAACGAGTAAAAGTTGGAGTGGTGATCGTACTTGAAGATCGGCCATCCAGCCAAAGGTGGTGGTGGTGGTGGTGCTTCCACCTTTTTTCGAGGGTGGCGGGTGGCGGGTAGCTTTAATTTATTGCATAATTTTTCCTTGTTATTTGGATTGTGCCGTTTCAAACATGCTCTTCTATTGCTCGTGCGGCTGACTTTGACCAACGTCTGCTGAAAAAGTTCACAACTTCACATCCTTGAAGAGCAAGAAACCACTATTCAAGGAAGTGACAATATCATCATTATTATATTGTTACCAAATCAGATATTTATGCCCGTTCTCCATTCTTTCAAATTTCAATTTTTTTAACTACATATTCTATTATAAAATAATTTAAATATAGACACGATATAATTTCGATATAAATTATTAACTATCAAGTCAATATTTCTATTTGCCAAGTTAAAAGATTTGTACATGTTTCGCATAGAAATCGAACTTCGCTAATAATTAAAAGATAATTCAGATGATTGTGTAAGGAACAACAACCTCTCGAGACAAAATTCCAACGATGGGTGTTTTATTTATGAAGATTACAATATGGACGAAGCGAAATGTCTCCAAGGAGCTCAAGCACATGAATTTTGCAAAGTAATTTAAGGCTAACAAGAAAAGGAATAAAATTACATAGTTCTCTGTTTGAGAGTCGTTTGATCTTTTTTCTTCTAAATTCTTCTTTCTCTTTTATACCCCTTTGACTGTTGTCCTTGTGGAATCGTTTGAAAACTGCTCTTCATTTTGTAACTTCTCACATTCTTCATAATGGATGACTTATCAAGAAATTATCGTTTTCAACTGCTGTCATTACTCTCATCACTTAACTCCTTGCAACCGAGATTCTTGGATCCTGAAATGTGATAAGATTATCCACTAACTGATTCAATAACCGTTGCTCCGAATAGTAACTTAAACACTATATTCGCCCAAATCTGGTCGTCTTACAGACTTGAGCGATGATGGATTCGCCCAAACAACCATCCTTCGAATTTTCTAATTAGGCTGAATTCCTTGGACCATTTAATTGGGTTTCATTTTTTGTATGTCAACTACGAGACGATTAATTTCAACCGAAAGCATATATTGAGTAACAAAAAAAAAAGTTGCAAAGATCTACTAGAAAATTGAGACATAAATTCGGTAACCTATATAAATTTAACGAAATATAAGAAAATATAAA